CTGGACCTGTCCCCAATTCTCTGTAACTTGAAAGTGTCAACCTAGGGGGCCTGGGAGGGTTTATCCCTTCCCCTGGGCCCAGGATTGGGAGGCGGGCATCCCAGGGTGGAGACAAAAGTGTCCCAGAGGGAGGCAGGGGTGGCCCAGTGGCCACGGTAGTGTCTACTCTGGCCTCCTCCGGAAGTCCCAGCTCTCAGACTCCCCAGTTCGCTCCACTCGGCCAGCTCCCCATCATCTGGAGGTAGGAGGAGGAAGGTGGGAAGTGGGGAAGACAGATGAGTTGGGGAAGGAGGCTGAGCAACCTCATGGTCACAGGCTTCAGACTCAGACGTGAGCTCCAGTCCTGTTCCTAGGGTCACTGGGGAGAGTGACCTTCCTCTCTGAACTCCTCAGTCAGTGTTCTCACAGCCCTTGCCAGCTGGCCTTGGGTGGGGGAGGGGAGGAAGGAGGGACTAGAGATGAGGCATGCCCTCCCCTCCTCCCACCCCACTTGCCCTCCCCCCGCCCCCCCTCACTGAGAAGGGGCTGCCTACACAGAGGGCAACTTTCATTTAGGGTAGAGGAGAAAATGTTTGCTCCCCTTTGGCTCTTAGTGCCGCCCCCAAGTCCCCTTCCTGCCTGCAACTATGGTGTTCAATCAAGAGCCACCTTAGTTCCTCATTTTGACTTGTGGGGACAAGCAGGGGGAGGGGGCCTTCTAGGTCCTCCCTCCCTCCATGGGACTGTGGATGCCCAGTCCACTTCCCGAGCCTCCTCCAGCCTTCCATGGCGGCTCCAGCCTTACCGTGGCCCAGCTTCGATTGGTCAAACCAATAGCTGCGATTTCTGCAGGGGTCTTCCCCAGCTCCCCCTCCACCGGCCCCCTCCCTGCCCCCACTACCTGCGCCTGTCCTCCCGCCTGCTGGCCTCCTTCACCCCTTCACACAGCACCTGCCCTTTGGCCACATACCTAGGCAGGCTGCGGACAGCAAGAAGAGGCCGCAGATGGTGGCAGGCAGAGCTGGAAGGACTCCTAGACCCCCAAGCATCTTCTCCCAACTGGTAGGTGATTCGTGCTGCAGCAGTTTGGGGTACCAGATTCCACTTCAAACCCCGCCCCACTTCCTGCCCTACCCTGCCGCGGAGATGGGCTCCACTGGTCTTCGCTGCTAGGCCTCTTGACTGCCGGCCTGGGGGCAGCCCCTGCCCCTTTGCTTCAGGCTGGTAGCAGCTGGCCCAGAGCAGGGAGAAACTACTTTCTGCACCTGCACTGGCCGCAGTTCCCCTGAGGCGTGGCTGCTGGGTGGGGGCAGAGACTGGTTCAGGCCTGGCTCAGCACTGGGAGGTCTGGGGACAGAAGCTTGAGGGAGCCAGAGTTCAGAGTGCTGGCTGCTGGCAGTCTGTGTGGTGGTTCTGAACTCCGCTTCTGTCTGCTCCTTGACCTTGGGCAAAACTTGTTCCCCTCTGAGCTTGTTTCCGTACTTCTCGGGGTTGGGAACGAGGATTTTCCCTCTTCTGAGTCTTGGCTATTTTTTTTTCAGTACTAGAGATCAAACCCAGGGCCTCGCTCATTCTACGCAAGAGCTCTATCACCAAATTGCACCTCCAGCCTTGGCCTTGGCATCTGTGAATCCACAAGTTGAGGAGCAGAGGATCTCCTTGACATTGTGACATGAGACGCTGTGCTCAGCACCCAGGAGTTAGAACCATATGAGCACTTTACTAGAGTTCTTTTTTTTTTGGGGGGGGGGGGGGGGGGGAATACCAGGATTGAATTCAGGGACACTCGGTCACTGAGTCACGTCCCAGCCCTATTTTGTGTTTTATTTAGAGACAGGGTCTTACCGGTTGCTTAGCACCTCGCTTTCTTACTGGAGTTCTTTTACATGGGTCTTCCCACATGGGACAACATAGGTCATTCGCCACTTTACAGAGGAGGAAACTGAGGTCCTGAGAAGGGAGGTTATCACTTTCCCGTTGTCATACACTCTAGGAGTGACCTTGAGGGATTCAAAGGCACCTTTTTGTCCCAGGTTTTTTTGAGCCTATCATGCTTGGCCAGGGAAATGAGGTTTGAGTAGGGAAGGGGGGAGTTGTTGAGATACCTGTGAACAATTAGGAGACCCATGTACACACATACACACACACACAGAGAGAGAGAGAGAGAGAGAGAGAGAGAGAGAGAGAGAAAATTCATGCTGGGTGCAGTGATGCATACTTGTAATCCCCACAACTTTGGAGGCTAAGGTAGGAGGATCACAAGTTGGAAGCCAGCCTGGGCAACTTTGCAAGATCCTGTCCAAAAAAAAAAAGTGGGGAGCTGCGGATGGAGCTCAGTGGTCAGTGGTAGATTCAATCTCCAGTGCTGAAAAGAGAAAAGATCATGGCAGGGAGATTTTTATTAGCAAAAATCTAGAAGCAATCCAAAAAGTCATTTACAGGAGAGTGGATTCACGGGTGGTGACAGTCAACCAACCAAATACCACAGAATAGGGGAAGCGTCGATAGGCTGCCACTCAAATAATTCGAGGATGAGAAAAAAATCTAGTGCGATGCAGTTGACTTGTTTTCAAAAGGCAAAACAACACCGGGTACTACTTTAGGATACAAGCCTGTAATGGTGGTTTAGTCCCACATAAGGTGACAAATGCCCGGTTCTGAGAGGGGTTACTTCTCAGGGAAGAGAGGAGGACGGGGTTGGAGCACACAGAGGACTTGGCCAGTTTGGGTCTTATTCCTTGTGTTTCATTTTTGGTTTGTTTCTGTGGTGCTGGGAGTGAACCCAGGGCCCTGTGTACACATGACATGTGCTCTACCACTGACCTGTACTGCCAGACCCCCTTGTGTTGTCTCTTAAGCTGGGTGGTAGGTGTGTGGGTGGCTATTATGTTGTTATGGATACTCCTTTGCATGCCTGAAGTATTTAATTTTTTTAAATATATTTTTTAGTTGTTGATAGATCTTTATTTTATTCATTTATATGCAGTGCTGAGAATCGAACCCAGTGCCTCACACATGCTAGGCAGGCGCTCTACCATTGAGCCATAACCCCAGCCCATATTTAATAATTTTTTTAAAAATGCAACTGTCACCCACAGAAGAGCATGGGCTTCCAGAATCCAGGATTCTGGGACTTGCATCTCAGTTCTGCCAACTCACTGGTCATCTGAGCCTCAGTGTCTTCTCTTATAATATGGGTACAATTCCTGTTTGTGAAAGTGCACAAATATTATGAAGGCAGCTCCTAGGACAAGGTTAGTTCTTTTCTCTGTTTCTAGAGACCTGCCCTCTTCCTTCCAGAGGCCCAGATGTTCTGTTGGACCCCTGCCGTCACTGAATAGCAGGTTGTCAGCCCCTCTGTGCCTCAGTCCCTCCTTTTAAGGCCTTCCCAGGAAAAATCATGGGTCCAGAGCTGGAAGCCCTAGGAATTCACATTTTTCAGCGTCTTTCAGAAGCTGTTTCCAGGCCATTGGCTGCCCCCTAGCGGTTGGATAGGCAAAGCTGCAGGATTTCAGGCACATGGTCCAGTTTACTTAGCACCTCTTTCTGGTGCCCCACCCTGTGCAGACCAGATGCTTGGCATTGGGTCCTTATATTAGCTCTGGGAAGTGTTTTCATCCTTGGTGGACAAAAACAAAAAACAAGATTCCAGAACTGGATGTTGACTGGTCTGGGGTCATGCCAGGGAGTGTAAACTCTTGTACTTCATTTTCTCAGCTTTTTTTTTTGATAGTGCTGTAGCAGGACGGGGCTGGTAGTTTGGGTTCAAATGGCTCTGTCACCCTCTAGCCATAGGGACATCTCACAAATTACCTATCTGTGACTTTTCCTGCCTCCAGTACATAGCACTTGGGTGTACAAAATATTCTGAAGTGACTGGTGGTACATACTGTTTATTCAGTACCAATCTTTCAGCACTGACAACCTCCAAACTGGGAGGGGTGGCAGCTTCATCTCCCACATGGTGCGGGAGCTGTAGGTTGTCCATCTTAAATGCAATGCCAATTGTCTACCAGAAATGCTTTATGTGATTATCTTGCTGAATCCCTTAGGGGTAAGCGGGAGTGAGGATTGCATGGGGTTACGTGCACAAAATTTGGAGCAGAGATGGATTCTTCCCTCCCAGTGTTGGGGATGGAACTATCTTGCTCATGCTAGGCAAATCCTCCACCATTAAGCTACATCCCCAGCCTATAGCTGCAACTTAAAACTTGCCCATCTGTCAAAACTCTCCCTCCACTCCAAGTTTTGCTTTCAAATGGATCTGGGTTAAGTATTTTGGGGGCTGGGTACCAGGTGGTCCTAATTGCCCCACTAGGGACCTAAGTAACAGGGATTTCTTCAGGTGTAAACTTCATGGGTCCAGCCCTGTGCAAAGCTCTAGTAGTTGGCTCCATCAACACTTCCTTCCCAAGGCTCTAGGGTTGGATTTGTTAGGGGGATAGGCCCAAGGCCACTACCCTAAAATGAAAAGCAGAGGCTCAAGTAGGCCCACCCTGCCCATGCAGGCCCATAAATAGGTACCAGTCTGGAAAATCACTTTGGGCAGCAGTGTGCACCTGTAACCCCAGCAACTGCAGGAATGCAACCCAAGTAACTTGGTGAGACCCTGGAGGGGCTGGGAATATAGTGCAGAGGCTAATTACTAAGGGTTCTGTCCTCAGCAAAGCCCCCAGCAGAATAGCACCAGTTCTGCAGGTCTCTCTTCACTTCCTCCCAGGAAAGACACATGGGCTCTAGGACCATCCCTATTCTAACAGATGTCACCTCTGCAACCCAGCATCAGATTTGTCACTGCTTAACCAGTCACCCTTTGTTTTCTTGTTCCAGAGAATTGCAAACACAGGACATGGGGGAGGGATACAGTCCCCTCACTCACTGCAGGAAAATGTTCAGTTAGGGAGGTGTTTGAAGTGGGAAGACTGGCCTAGTGCTCTGCCAGCTACTGTTCAACATAACCATTCAGAGACCCCTGGTCCCTAGGAATGTGCTTTCAGTCAATCAAGAGACCCAGACCAGAATTACGAATGAGGCAATTTATTAACCCAGCATCCTTTTGTTCTAATGCTTCTTGTTGGCAGCTGCCACCTGTGAGAAAAGATTAAGAATTCAGATGAGTGGTGGGGTCTCTACTGTGCACTCCACTGGCTGCAGTAATAAGCACACTAAATTCTAGATGCCAAATGTACTCGTTTAATCTTCATAACTGAGGTCATCTTCCCATTTTACAGGGACTCAAGCAAATGGATGAGTCCAATTCTGCCCACTGCCCCATGAGGGGAATGCTAACCATCAGCACAGATGTTTGCACCAGGCTCTCTTCCAACTCCCAGAGGGCGGACACCTTTCATTCTTTTGTGACACCGGACTAAGTGACTACACATTTCAAGGCTTCTAGGAGGCCTGAGCCAATGATTAGGAACCAACACAGAGCTCATGCCAGGACCCCTTAGGACCTGGGGCTCCTGCTGTACTGCAGCCTGTGGAATCCTCACCCCCAGTTTAGGCTGGTGAGAGTGGGTCATTCCATGACAGGGAGATTATAGGGGTGAAGGGACTTTGTCCGAGTGTCATCCACCCAGGATCTGGGGCCTGACCCAGCATGCTGAACCCACCTGTTGCCAAGTAAGCACAAGATATGGGAAATGGAACCACCAGTGTGTGGGGGCAGATGTGCCCTATAGAGGCCAAACACCACCTTGGCCTGGGCTCCCTCTACCCCAACACCCAAATTTTTGATCAACTTAAGCAGAAATGATCTTTTTTCTGCTCCTGGGCAGCCCCTTCCTGAGGTATGCCCTTCAGGGAAGGAAATAAGTCACATCTACAACAGGTTCTGGAAACTGGGGGAGTGACTGAGGGTCCCACCCTGAACAAAGTCACATCTTACCTGTCCAGCGATTCTGTCCAGATCTCTCTGTCCCTGAGGTGTCAGCTTGCGGCCCCTGAAGGAGAAAAGAATCTTAGTCATTCCCTGTTGAGTACAGGCTCTCAGCCCCCTCCTCTTGGCCACAAGCCAGGCTTCCCAAGAAGGTACCTGGCAGAGGGACCACATACCAGCTCCAGCCAAGTCCCACCCAGGCCCTAGTCAGTTGCATTCCAAGGAGCTGGGGGTAGGAGCACGAGCTCTCCCGGGAGCTGACTGGGTGTCGTTTGTGCAAGCATTAGATCAAAAGCCCCGAAAAATCAATTCAGAAAAGTTAACGAGCAGGCTAATGAAAGCGGACAGTCGCTAAATTACCTTCCTGGAGCCTGAGGAAGTCAGCCAGAGAGGTCGGGGTGAGGCCCCCTCACTGTTTTGCTTTTCTGTTGAATGCCCTGCCTGGCCGTGAGAGGAGCAGGTGGGAGGCACCCGACAGCTTCAGTGTATGTGACCTATGGTACTGATAACCTGGCCCCCAGGTTCCCTTTCTGCTTACCCATCTTGGTCCTTCTCTACCATCTTCAGTCCCTCCAGGGCTTGGAGGACGCGGCGGGCCACACTCTTAGAGCCTCTGCTGAAGTGGCTGGGCATGACACCATTTCTTTGACGTCCCCCATAGATCTTGGTCATGGAGCCAACCCCAGCACCACCCCGGAGGTACAGATGCCGTGCTGTAGAAGCTGGAGGTGGAGTGAGAGGGAGCTGAGAACATTTCTTAGGCACATATAACAGTTCAGTGAGACAGCTAATCCTCACCATTTTAAGTGGAAGAAGTGGAAAACACACATGATGACCACTTGATGTGCCCCGAACCAGCCCTCCCAGTTTGTCAAGTCACTATGTACTCTAGGCAGGAATCTGAGGCATGGTGAGGGTGGAGCCTAGTCAATGTTTTGAGAAACTGACCATATCTATATGCCTGAGTAACAACAGGGAGAGGGCAGACACCCTATGCAGTGGATGCTCCCAACTTGGAACCCGCAGCATGCCCTCCAGGACACAAGGGTTCTTATCCCTGGACTGGCTTGATCAAGTCTCCCCCGGGGGCCAGCCTCGTTGTCTAAAAGGCAAGTTCTAGCAAAACCCAGAACTGCTGTGGAACGGGAGCATAGGTCTGCTAGACCCTGTGCCAAATGCCATGCACACAATCACTCATGCATTAAGATGGCCTCAGAAGCTGGACTGATAAAAGCCTTAGGCAAACTGCTTAACCTCACCAGGAGCAGGACAGACAGTCCTCTAGCCATCATATGGCTCTACCAGCTGGGGAACACAAGGGCCAGAATCTGCTCAAGTGAGCTCTCTTCTGGTTCTGAAAAGCAATAGGGTGAACCAGTGATTCAGTTCAAAAACTACGGACTCAGAGCCAGAGGCTAGGCAGTGTTCTCTGTGTACAACAAACCAAGTGACCAGGGTACTTTAGGGGTATTGTGTCCAATTACAACAAACAAATAAATAAAATCATTCCATCAGTTTTATACCTTCCCAATTTACTGTAGGTCCTATCTCTGCCCTGGGGACTTTTTACTGTAGTTCCGCCCCTCTGCCCGAATCAAGAGACTATCTTGGCATAAACCACTTCACCCCTAGTCTTTAAAAAACGCCATCCCAGAATGAACAACCACCTCTGTCCATGGGCTTTCATCTGGTTGTGTCCTGCTTAGGAGACCTGCTCTCCTGCTAGGGCTTAAGGGCTGGGGAAAGAAGGATAACCTCAGGAAAGGTAAGAAGCTGTGTATCAGAAGTAGTACAGGCAACCTTGGTCTTGCTGAGCCAGGACCAGTGCCCAGAGATCCGGGGTCTCAGCCTGGGCTCAATGTGCAAAACAGGTGGCCAAACACTGAGCTAACAGGCAGGTGGGAGACAATCTCAACGGGGCTCCTTATTAGTAGTGCCACAAAGTACATATATCCAGCTGTCAGGAGGTAGGTACAGCGGCACCAAAGGAGACCATTAAATTTAATCCCTAAATACAGTGACTGGTGGGAAATAAGCGCCATCAAAGCATACTAGTTCTTTCAATTGGGGCTCACAATGGAGAGAGAGTACAAGGCCCTGCTACCCCATTATTTTTGACCCATAAGAAGTGAAGGAGCTCTACTATAAAACACCAAGTTCTGGAAAGCACTGGCCTCTTTTCCACCCCCTTGAGACCTGGGCCCTACTGCCACACTTTGGTGGAATTAAAAAAAAAAAAAATCCAGGCCATTCTCGATGAATTCGTAGGCGAGTTAGGCCTTGTTAGACTGAGAGCCCCACAGGCCTTCTGTACCCTTGTACATTCTTAGAAAAGGGGGAATGGCTGTGTGTTCCTGCTGGGCTGGGGGGACAACAGCACTCTGCACTTGAGACAAGCAACCCAGCTTTTTTGAGTCACCATAGCACCAACAGTTCATGCTAATAAGCACAGACTGGTGGTTGTATCCCCACCCTAGTCAAAAGCGGGGGAGGGGGGGCGGGCTCTGTCTGCCCTGACCTTTCTCTGAAAAACCAAGGAAAAATCACGTTCCTGATCTTGATTCGCCTCTTTAATTTTTCTGTGATGCTTCCTAAGCTTCATTTCTTCTACTAACACAGCACGACTGAGTCCCTGACCCTACACAAGAGTCAGAAGGACCAGCCTTTACCCTATAAGCAGTCTTCAAGTATTCTAATTGAGCATTCTCCCAGTCAAATACCCACCAAGACACCAGAGTGGATTCTCATCTCACTCCTAAGCAGGTTTTTATGAGAATTAACAGGCCAAGAGACCTAATTAGGGTGACACATCCTGCCCCTTTAGGTCCACTGTAGTCTGATCTTGAGCAACAGAGCCTCCCTTTAGAGATTATCTGTTCTCTATATCTCCATCTCATTGCCTGGAAACTTGATCCCATAGTCCTGCCTCACATCCAGACCACCTTCTGCCACAAACTTCTTTATTTCCCACATCTGTATGTTTCTTCACTGTACTCCAGCCTCTACCTCCTGAGGGGGCAAAATAGGCCAGATCTCACCATTCAGAGAGAGAAAATACAGCCTAGAACCTACAGTCAGACAGAGCTGGCTTGCCAATGCTCCCAAAGCTGCTTGAAAAGTCACTCTACCTCTCTGTACCCACATTAGGTGAAAAGCACATTAGATTTCAGAATAGATATCAGTAAGCAAGCATCTTTTGTAGTGGATTAGAAAATAACTTGGCTTCTGCTGCTGTAGCAGTGTAAAAAACAGGCACAACAGCACCCCAACTCCCTATATCACAGGGCCATTGGGAAAGTGAGATCTAAAAGGGAGCTTTGGGAGCTCCAGCTCCACTGGAGGGAGAACACACACCCAGTGTGAGATGTCCAGGGAAGGGCCTGCTAAGCAAAGGGCTGCAACTACTGTATCATGACCAGCAGATTCATCTAGGTTCATCACCAGGGTCTTGATCCCATTTTTAAATCATTCCTCACCTTAAAAAAAAAAAAAAAATTGGTATTTTGGAGGAGTCCTTTCCAAGCAGCGTTAAGGATGTATTTTGATATCACTAACTGGCTGACCCTGGACATGTTACTCAACCCTTCTGAGATCAACTGTGAAGCAGGCAAAAGCAATTCTACTTCAGGTTTTTAGTACATGCAAAATGTCTATGCACCTCAAATAATGGAAAGAGCTATTACATTGTTCTAAACTTTAATCCAAAGTTTCTTTAATCTCTCGAGACACTGCCAAAAAACACTGAGGACATGGTGTGTCATTCAGGTCTTGTCACTGTTGTGTGCCCAGGGAGCCAGCTTTCCTTCACCATCCCCACCTTCCCTTTTCTGGTAATAGGGATCGAACCCAGAAGTTTTTAACACTGACCTTCATCCAAGTCCTTTTAGTTTTGATAGGGTTTTGCTAAGTTGCCCAGACTGGTTTCAAACTTGCAATCCTCCTGCCTCAGCACTCTGAATTGCTGGGATTATAGGCATGTACCATCCAACCCGACAACCACCCCCGTTTTCTAAAACTATAGTGGTGGGTGGGTGGATATGCTACCCATCCTACCCACCTCACAGAGTTGATCTTTTAGTCCTCAGAGGTCAGAGGCTGTGATGAGTCATGTTGGTCCCCTGTGCCCAGTCCAAGGCCTGAAACAAAGTGGGCCCCATGGACATTTGATGCATGAGTGCACAACAAGTCTACAATATGTTGTCAGAGCTAACCAACTTGTACCAAGGCTGAGGCCAACTGATCTCAGGGTCATTCCTGAAATCTGCCAAACTGTCTCCTATCTAATAATGACCTTTGCTAGTTTGGAGCCCCCACTTCACAAAGGGAGATCAGAGAGGTCAAGATCCCATAGAAGACCTGTGCAGAGGCTGTCACCTTAATACAACCCAGCACTGACCCTATCCCTGTAAGTTAGACCTACAGAAGAGTGCGTGATGTGTATACAGTCTAGAAATGTCAAAACAGGCAAGAATTAGCACTGTGAAGTTAGCAAATGTATTTATATTACAACTATAAGATTAAAAAAAAAAAAAAAAAAAGATGAGAGTTGCCACGACAGCAGAGGGTAACCACAAGGTCAGGGTGTTTTCTTTACAGGCACTTAGAAGTCAAGATTAGAGCAAGAAGTTGCCCAGATCCCAACCACGAAGTAAGAAACAACTTGCTAGAGACAGCAGGCTAACATGATGATCTGAATAACAGAAACAAGACAGAAGACTTTAATTACTGTGCAATGGGCGCTTCTAAAATTTTGACTGCTTTAAATTCATTTAATCTTCATGATAATCCTGCAATAGTACCATCATTAGCTCCTCCATCATTAGGATTAGAAACTGAAAACATAAGCAAATTAAGCAATTTGTCCAAGGTTATGGTTAAGCAATGGACATGAATCTGACTCCCCAAATGCAGAAGGGATGTTGCCTCTCTCAAGTGAAAAACTTCTAATTAAACATGACCACCAATTTGACACCAAGCTTTCCTCAAAGCTCTTAAAACCGCAGTTATTAAAGTCTCAAGTCACATAACATGTGGCAACACAAAAGTCTCTCCTACTGCAACCTTGGGAGGGAGCAAAATGGATTTGTGCATGGGGTCACCCAGCTTCCCACCCTTAGCCAAGGGCCCACACATATTCCTCACCAGCTCGTGTGTAGAACCAGTTCTCATCGTAGGGAGCAAGCTCTTTATGCTTGGCCAGCTTGACTGTGTCCACCCATTCGGGGACTTTCAGCTTGCCAGACCTAGGACAGAAAACAGGAAGGAAAACAAAATTCAGGAATCTCACTAACAATTTTACCCATATGACCCCTTCCTTTGAACATAACTTTAGAAAGAGGTTCCAAGACACAAATAAACAGGCTGAAACGCAAAACCACCAACCCAGGCCTCATACAGAAAGTGCACTCTTCACATGGAAGCCCCGCACAAATCTCCCCTCCCTCCCTGAACAGGGAGCCTGGCGCGCTCACGTGCCAACCGACAGACTGCGTCCACTGACCTCAGCCCCCACACTCACTTTTTAAGGAAGGCTGCCAGAGCTCTGACGAACTCCTGCTGGTTTACGTCTTTTACAGTAACTCCGGGCATCTGTGAGAGAAAGTCCGACATGTGACCATAAGGTCTGGTGGAGGTCTGAACGAGGGTCCGGGCCCTGGAAGCCAACTCGGCTCCTCGGCGATCTAAACCGCAGCACCCGCGTTAACCCCCAAGGCTCACTTCAACTCCGGCCCTGGCTCCCGTGGATCCCACAGAACTTACTGGCGCTTGTCTCTGTGGGTCCCACCAGCCCGGCCTCAGTTTGGGAGCTCCCTGCACAACGCCACCCCTCAGCCCCGGGATTCTGGATGCCCTTACGCACCCCTCAGCTGCCCGCCAGGCCCTCTCGGTTCCGGACCGCGCGGAGCAGGCATGTCCGGGCCTGCCGCTCGCACGTGGTCGCGGCTTCTGGGGGCGGGTCGGCCCCGCGCCGTGCTCACCGGGGCCATGAGGCACGCACTCCTGAGCCGGGAAATTCGGCCCCGAAGCCCCATGCCCAGCCCGTGCCGGAGCGCCAGCTTACCGTGCGGCCTCCGCGCTGCCAGCCAGGGGAAAGGGAGCGACGGGGTTTCCCGGGCGCACAAGTCGGGCGTCAAGTCTCGCGATACTTCAAAGTTCTCGCGATAACGGGGCTAGAGTAGGCGACTCCGCCTGTCTCAGGGCAAACGTGCCTTCATCTTCGCTCAGATGGGAGGGTGTATGGTGAGGGATAGAGGAGCAACTGGAAATGCTGCTGGGGGGCGGGCGTGGAGGCCAGTGTTTCCTTCCAGCCTTTCCTTTTTTCGGAGAGGAGCGTTAAAGAAGAGGGAACTCCCATCTGGAGCTGGGGGAACCTGGCTTTGTTGGCGTTGTGGTGGCCGGCAGGAGTAGCGGTAGAAGATACTGAGGGCGGAAGCTCGGGGGAAGTTGAGTGGGCGGGAAAGAAGACCTGGCCTCAATGGATGACCCTTTTTCCGGGTGGAAGTGACTTTTCCATGGCCGGAAGTGAAAGTAGTAAGGGCGGAACTGCGACAAGAAAACTAGGGGAAGGGCAAGAAAGAAATGAGGCCACTGCCTTTACTTCTTCCATCACCAGTACTCGCGAGAGCAGGAGCTGGAAGCTTCACCCTTCTTAGGGCGGAAATTGCTTCAACTCCTCCTTGGTGACCAGAGTGGGAATGGAGGCGGGGAGTTAAGGGCAGGGACAAAGAGGCAGAAGCGGGACCTTCGGAGAAGTTAGTTAGGTCTTCCTCCTAGTGCTGGAATCATTGCTCTACCCTTAGGCTCACTTGGCCCCTTTCTCGCCCCGCTCGCTCGCTGACTTGTGTAATTAGGCAGAGCGCTTGCCTCCCCACCCCACCACGTCCTGCGCCCTTGGGCTTCGGTCTCACTACTGTGACACACACTCCGAGGTCCCAATCTTTTACCTACTTTAAGTGACTGTTCTGGCACGTGGTGCGCTACATATTCCAGCAACAAATATTTTGAGTGCTTACTCTGTGCCAGATACAAGTAAACATTTGGACATTTTTCTTGTGGCTTGTCCTGTAGTAGTACATGCATGATCTCACATGATCTTTTTTATGAGGCCCAACCACCAGAGAACGTGAAGGATAATTGTGGTCCAAAAAAATTATGTTAGCTTACTGCAAAAAAGAAACACATGTATATAGCCATTTTCTTATATTCAAAAGACAATTTAAAATATCAATTTAAAAATATAAAAATTTCTCAAGTTGAGATACATACTGTATGCAAAAATGTCTGTTATTTATAAGCCGTTATACTAGTATCTATTAAAAAAGAAAAATCTTGGGCCTGGGAGAGTACCTTGGTGGTAGAGTGCTCGCCTAGCATGTAGGAAGCTTTCTTTGGGTTTGATCCCCAGGATTGAAAAAAAAAATTAACTATGTTTCTAGCATGATAAGATCATGCATTTACTTATCATGCATTTAAATCCTGGTTTTACATGCTGTTGAACCCCATTTCTCACACTTTGAAAACACAAGAATATTTTTAGTATCTTGACTTTTTTCCTCCCAGAAAAAAAATATGTCCTTGAATATGTATTGTCATGTATGCTTAACTGGAAATTTCCATTTACTTGGATAATTTGTTCACTTTTTAGACATTTCTAATACCAGTTCTAAATCATTTCATTGTGGCCAATTCATGGAATCATTCTCTATATCTCTTTTTAAAAAAGAGATCTCCAAAGTTAATGTGGAATACCGTATAGTACAAGAATGGCGTTAGTATAGGAATTTGGGAAGGGTGAAGCTTAGGTAAAATTTATGGTAAACAGAGTTTTGATGAATTTAGGTACAGTGGGCCCTATGTAATTGTTAGCATCTTGTCTGGTGGAGAAGCAGACTCACAGTGCTGGTTCTTGGAAATAAAGGGTTAGGATAAATGTGCATTGTTGTCTCTAGGAATCCTTTCTCTGAAGTTCTCATCTGGGTTGGAAACCATGACTGCTTCTCTGTATCAGAGTGACTTAGACCCTCCAGGTAAGCATGAGCTGCCCATTCTTGTTATTTCTATGCTTTTAAAGAGCTGACTTTCTTATAGTCTATGATTTCAGAGATCATGGCTTCTCAGCACTGTGTCCTTAGTGTTAATTTTTATACCTGTTAGATTTTACAGATACATAATAAATAACCTTGCTTGGTGGTTATACAGTAGGCAAGTGAGATTTAGTCCAGTCACTTACATAGCCAGGCATGATGGCACAGGCCTGTATTCCCATCCCAGGAATCAGGAGGCTGTTAGGAGGATCCCAAGTTCAAGGCCAGCCTCAGCAATTTAGTGAGGGCCTAAGCAACTTAGAGAGACCCTATTTCAAAATTAAAAAGGGCTGGGGATTTGGCTCAGTGGTACAGTGCCTGCTTAACATATATTAGGATCTTAGTATGATCCACAGCCCTCCCCCCAAAAAATAGATTTGAGGCTGTGATACATATAGACAATGGACTATTATTACTACTAAAAATAAATCAGCTATTAAACTATCAGAAGACAGAAAGCCAGGCATGTTGGCACATGCTTGGAATCCCAGCAACTCAAGAGCAAGAAGCAATTTAGCAAGCCAGCCTCAGCAACTTTGTGAGACCCTGTCTTGAAATAAAAAGTAAAAAGAGCTAAGAATGTTGCTCAATGGTTAAGCATCCCTAGATTCAATAACCAGTGCCCCAGTCCCCAACCCTCCCCCCCCAAAAAAAAGACAGGACTCTAGAGAAAACTTTAATATGTATAATTTGATCAATCTGAAAAAGCCACATATTATATGATTTCACCTATATAGCATCCTGGAAAAAGGCAAAACTTCAGGGAGCTAACAAGATTAATGGTTGTCAAGGTTTTGTTGGGGGGCGGGATGAATAGATGTTTCTCAGAGGAGTTTTAGGGTAGTGAAATTATTCTCTTTGATATTATAATAATAGACATATGTTGTTATGTTATAACCCAAAAAATGCATACCACCAAGTGTGAACCCTAATGTAAGCTGTGGACATTGGGTGAGTTGTGTTAATATAGACTCATCAGTTGGAAAAAAAATGTATCACTTTGGTGTAGGGTGTTGAGAGAGATGGAAACAGTGGAGACTGTGTATGTAGGAAGAGAGTGGTGTATGTAAACACCACTTTCTTTTTTTTTTTTTTAAAGAGAGAGAGAGAGAAGAGAGAATTTTTTTAATATTTATTATTTAGTTTTCGGCGGACACAACATCTTTGTTTGTATGTGGTGCTGAGGATCGAACCCGGGCCGCACGCATGCCAGGCGAGCGTGCTATCGCCTGAGCCACATCCCCAGCCCCATAAACACCACTTTCTACTTCATTTTGCTGTGAATCCAAAACTGCTCTAAAAAATAAACTACATTAAAAGAATGACTTGAGGGCAGGAAAAACAATTCCTAAGGTATTGGAAACACCTTTTTTACCCATATATTCTGAAATCTCACAAAGAGGTACTGAAAACAGGCCTTGGCCTCTGGATTGTTTTAAATTTTTTTTTTTTTTTTTTTTTTGTCGTGCTGGGGATGGAACCCAGGACCTTGTTGGTACTAGGAGAACACTCTGGCATTGAGTTACACCCCAGTCTTAGGTGCTGTCCTCTGAGAATAGTTATTCTGGGCATAGAGATGGACACAGATGGACACAGGCATAGTTTAAGATAATCAGGTCTGTTAAATAGGGGGCAAGGACCCCTAAGGAACATAAGGACTCTGACTAATGGGTTCAATAGAGATGAAAAGGATAATCTTGCTTTAGGGAAGAGCTTAGGATTTTCATGAGTCTATGCAGGACATGAGTTTTAAGGCTGTGTACATGTGAACATTTGTCATGAGCTGCAAAACCAACTACATAAGGCGTCATGGTTACAGAATGAGCCTACATGTTATAGTTTAGATGTGGTGTCCCCCAAAAGCTCACGTGTGAAACAATGCAAGATTTGGAGGAGAAATGATTGGGTTATAGACTTAACCCAATCTGTGAATTAATTCCTAATGGATTAAGTGGTAACTGGAATGTGGGTGTTGTTGCTGGAGAAAGTGGTTCATTGGGGGTGTGGCCATGGGGTATATTATATATTTTGTATCTGGAGAAAGGAGTTTTTCTCTCTGCTTCCTGATCACCACGTGAGCTACTTCCCTCCACTACACTCTTCAACCATGATGTTGTGCCTCACTTTGAGCCCCGAGGAATGGAGCTGCCCTTTTGTGGACTAAGACCTCTGAAACCATGAGCCTCTAAATAAACCTTTCCTACTTTACAGTTATTCTGGTTGGGGCTTTCAGTCACACCAGTGAAAAAGCTGACTAAAACACTACATGAACAGGAACGAGGGTCTGAGGATAACCTGGACAGGATAGGTGGTGTGATATCATGGCTACCTTGGACTGGAAATGTGGTCAGGAATGGACAAAGTTTGAGTAGGGCTGAAGTGAAGGGAACATGAATTCTCAAATGGCAGAATTGTGAACTGTGCTCCTGAAATAAAACCTGGGTATAGCCCAGCATGGTGGCCCATACCCATAATCCCAGTTACTTGGGAGGCTGAGATGAAAGGATCACAAGTAGAGTGCTTGCCTATATGCTTGATGCCTTGGGTTCACTGCAGAGTACTGCAAAACAAAATTAGCTTGGCATGGTTTCACATGCCTGTAATTCCAATGACTGGGGAGGCAGAAGCAGGAGCACTGCAAGTTCCAGGCCAGCCTCTGTAATTTATCAAGACTCTATCTCAAAAGTAAAAGATGAAAAGGGCTGGGGATGCACAAAGTGTAGTGGTTCATTCCTATAATCCCAGCTACTTGGGAGGCTGAGGCAGGAGAATCTCAAGTTCAAGGCCAGCCTCAACAAGTTAGCAAGGCCCTAAGCAACTTGGTGAGACCTGTCTTAAAAAAATAATCTTAAAAAAAGGTTTTGGGGGCCCTGGGGATTTAGCTAAGTGATAGAGCACCTTTGTATTGAGTTTCCAGTACTGCAAAATGAAAAAAAAAATGTATATGGCTCTGGGGAAGGGTCTTGTGAGGAAAGAAAGGAGTATAATGGTGCTTCATATTTGAAATCATTGGTTATTTCTAGAGTGTTGAGAGAGCATGTGAAGGGGAGAGACTTACTCAGTACTCCAGTGGACCATGGCAACACCATTCCCAACTTTGCAGTGGCAAGTGGGAAAGAGGGTTGTATAGGAAAAACAGTGCTCACAGTCCACTGGCTAAAATCTCGGAGGCTGGTTTTCTCAACTGTGGATGAAGAGTGCTGTACTCAAAGAGGTAGCAATGTGGAAGCATGAACAATTTTTAAAAAAATATTTATTTTTTAGTTGTAATTGGACACAATACCTTTATTTTATTTATTTATTTTTATGTGGTGCTGAGGATCGAACCCAGGACCTCACATGTGCTAGGCGAGTGCTCTACCACTGAGCCTCAAGCCTAGCCTGCATGAACAATTCTTAAATTTACCCCATTCCTAAGGCTGACCTCTTTCAGGAGATCTGCCCGACTCCTCCAGGCACCAATGAGAGGTACTAATGATTTGGAAAAATATTAGCATTGTTGGGGAGGTGGGCTCCAGGGAAATGGAGGTCCCTTCTCATGCCATCCTTTTCCCAAAATTATACTCTCATTTTCTTCCCAAATGAGTGACCCTGGCATACTGGGGACCCTTGGTCAGCCCTGAGTAGCAAAGTCTTAGCATAGTCTGAGTAACAGTGATTCCCTGCTTTGTGACTTCTGTCACTGGGAAAGCATGGCACAGCAAGGCTTAGGCAGGTCTATTAAAGGGCAATCATATATCTAAGTTATAACTAGGGAGTAAAGGAAGATGTCAAGTGGACTTCAGTTCTTTTGATATCTTGCAAGGTCTCCTGAGAAGTGTTGCAGGTTTGTCACTCTGTAATCTGTTAGGGGCCACCTTTGTAAGGCCCTAAATAAGAACAAGCTGTAATTGGACATCATCACTACCAATAAATAAAAAGAGTAAAAAGGGGTATAGGTAACATCAGGAAAAACAGTCAGTGACCAGGCATGTCCTTTGAACTTTCTGTCTGCCCCTTCTAAGGGTGGGTATGGATAGGGTCTCCAGGTCTGCATATCTTTAGAATAGCGTAGCTCATAGGTCTTCATAAGTTTGGAACATCTCAAGGAGACTCAACAGCAGAAGACTAAGAAACAAATGTAGGTAAGCTCTTATTAATGATAGCTTGAGTAGAAAAAGCAAGACATTTTTGAAAAACTTTGATTCATGTCTATCCCCTGGAGATAAGATTCTGTGCTTTATAAAAATTATCTATTAATTCATTTGAGGACTGGAAAGGAGAAGGAATCCTCCCGAGTATTGCTTAGAAAATTTCCCTAAAATTTCAAGCAAGTCACTTTACTTCTTTTAGCCTCTTCTTTTATTAATAAAATGGAAGTAATTCACAACTTACTGAGTTACTGTTAGGATATACGTGTATCAAATATAGTGAATACTTAATAAATGGTAATGATTGTTTGGAAGAATTCTTCCAAGCTTAGACACAGAAACCTCCCTAGTTCAGGAAAAACTCTTTTTGATAAAGACTAACTTGGTGCTTCCTGTCCTGATTGGCCTCAGTTTCTCCATCTGGAAAATGTCATCTTAGTTTAGCATCAAATTGACATTCCATTGACCAAAGCTGGCCTTTGGGTATGTTTTATTTGGCCCACATAAGATATAAAGAAGAAAAATGTGCCAACATTAAAAAAATTAAGATGTTGAACATAAAAAAAAAGTTTCTCAATTTTATTTGAAAAATCAGAAGATGTGGCAACTCTGAGCCCATGTTTCTGCCTGGCAACAATCCACTAGGGCCAAAAATGTCTGCCCCTTTAAGTAAAGCATGTATTTTCAGTTTGCTAGCCTTTACCTCCCCCTTTTAACTCGTTTATATGGTCTGCTCAGTCCTGTAGGTATTTCAATTTATTGCCCTCTGGACAGCAGGAAACTGTTATATGGTCATAATAAGAATTCCAAGTTTGTGCTTATTTGTGGTATTTTAAAAAAATATTTTTTAGTTGCCAGTGGACCTTTATTTATATGTGATGCTGAGAATCAAACCCAGGGCCTCACACATGCTAGGCAAGCACTCTACCACTGAGCCACAACCTCAGTCCTTATTTGTGGTATTTTTTCGTGGTACTGGGGATATATCCAGAGCCTCAGGCATGCAAGGCTCAGTCCTTGTAGTAAATCTTAAATAACTGATTTTCATTATGAGAGGTGAATTGAACAAGTCCTTTCTGTCAGTCAGGATAGACAAGGTTAGGCTATAGTAACAGATAATCCCCAAATCTCAGTACTTAAAACAACAAATGTTTATTTTTTGCTTATTCACACAAACCTAGACACATAATGAAAGTACTCTCCTGTTTTCATATGCATGGAGCAGACATGAGTGCATAGGTATATACAGAACAAGAACTCATGCAGAAAAGTATTTAGATACTGGTCAGCTTAAACTGCACAACTCTTTGTTTCTTGGATACTTAAAAAGATCCTAAGACCCAAGGAAGGGTATGAAAATATCCATCTTTGGCCAAGGAAATGCCCACACTATAAAAGGAACTGAAAGCTAACAAAGCACCTGAAAGCTTTAAAAAAAAATCCTGAAGCTTGTACTATATTAAATTCCATGCAAAAATCTGTAAGTAAAATACCAAATATGCAGTGCCTGTGGGCTATTGGTTTCCTGCCCCAGTGAGGCAGCCTCCACCTCTGGGCTTTTAACTCAGAAGGGAGATGGACCCCAGGCGCCCAATATGCAGAGATACTGAAGGAGCTGGGCTGGGTCGGAGAGAGGGGCCGACAGGTTGGAATCCTCTTCCTCCAGCAGGAGCTACAGGCAGGAAAAGGTAGAACCTGATCATATCCGTTTCCCCTCCCAGCAGATCTCTGTTTACCTCATCTGCTCCACCTCACCCTTGTTCACCTGCTAACTGCACAGACCTCCTCTTGCTGATTTCCTCACCTCCAATCTTGCCTTCTCTAGCCCCTCCATTAAAGCTACCATATTTTTCTTTCTCAAGCTCAGGCTCTCTGGGATATATCTTGCCAAGTTTAGAAACATTTCTTGGCTCCCCTTTGTGCACAGTTGTTTGGGTAAACTCTTAAACCCAGCATGCCGTATCTCCACAATCAGAAGCCTATCTGGCTGCATCTCTCCCTATTGCAGCAATTCCTCTAAGCCAATCCACTATTGGAACAGAAAGGCTCTCAGCCTTCCCTCTCTGTCCACAAATTGAAACTGAGTGTTTCTCACTCCTTAAGAGTTCTATGGTCTCACCACTGAGCCTTGTGAAAGCATCCCTAAGATTCCCTAAGCAGGAAGGAAACCCCTGGAAGGTAGTTATCATCTCTTCCCAGGTCAGACCCTGGTTACTTCTTCAATCCCTTTTCAGACTTCAGCAAGCAGATAGGGTCTGGAGAGAGAACCTTGGGGCTGGAGTCAGGATACATGCTTCCACACTGTCTGGCTATATGCCATTGGAAAAATCTCCACCTCTCTAATTTTCCTTGACATTGGAATACTAGAGGATCTGAGGACATTCAACTTGTTAACCCCTTCCCTCATCTCCATCCCTGATCTCTGCTTGTTCTAGTGACCTCCATTTAGTGCCATTCTTATTCCATCCTCCCCTTTCAGGAAGCAGGTTACCTGGTGGGCCACAGGGGTGGAGCAGGGAAATCCAGGCAGGGTTGGGGGGGACAGAAGGGGTCAGGCGGGGAGCCTGGGATGAATCTTTCAGACCCACAAGGGTCTCAGCTGCCTCCCGCTGCAGCTGCCGCTCTGAGGGGGCAGATGTCCAGGCCAGGCGAGAGGCTCCAGGGGCCTGCAAAGGAAAGGGAAAAAAGCAGACTGGGAATCCCCACTTCTGCCCACCCTGCAGGTGTTCCTCTGCCCCTGGTTCTTTTACAGTTCCTTGCTTTTTCCTTCCCCAGGCTCAACCTCCTCCCTGGGTCTTGGATGCCATTTCTTTCCCAGGACCTGTGGCTGTAGCAGAAGAGAGTCTGGGGTGCCACAAGACTGGAGTATCAGAGTCGAACATCTAGAAACAAGGAGAGATGCCAGGTCATATCAGTCACATAAACAGACATATATACATTTTGATCTAGGAAGCTGAGAGGCTGCTGGGCCACTGGACTTTATGGGCCTGGTTAAATCCTGTTTACTGTCTTAGCCTCCTTTGTTTTCCATAAAATGAAAATTCCTGTCAGTTTTTCCTGCCCAGATTATAGGAAATCATTGGTGTCAGTTTTAAAAAATGGACAAAATACATAGAGGGACTGAGATTATGTCCCTGCCCTACCAGATTCTGGTTTCTCTCCCCCAGTTCCCCTATCCCACCTTCAAGAAGCTTTCTCTAATGACCTCTGGCCTCTTTCCTTGGCCTCTAAGGTTCTTGTCATGGTGGCCTTCCATTTTGCAGGCAATCCTAATTCATCTTATCTGTTTAAGAGGATTTCATAGCTATTTGTTCAAGGTTTTGGGACCTGGGCTAGGTATATTGCATACATTATTGTTAATTATTATGACAACTGAAAGTAATAGCATATCTTATTTGCTAATAGAAAAACAGGCTCAGAAAAATATGGACATTTATTCAAAGGTTCACAGCTAAGAAATACTAGAGTTAGGAGAACTCTGCCTCACCTATTAGCCTGAGACCTTTCTTTTTTTTTTTTTTTAATATTTTTTAGTTGTCAATGAACCTTTATTTTATTTATTGATACGTGGTGCTGAGAATCGAACCCAGTGCCTCACACATGCTAGGCAAGCACTCTGCTACTGAGCCCCAGCCCCAGCCCGAGACCTTTCCTTTTTTATCATCCATCACAGAGTCAGGCTCAGAATAAATATACATCCTTCTTTCTCTACTCACGTGTGGGGCAGGCCAGGGGGCCCTTGGGGCTCTCCAGAAAGAGGAGCTGTCAGTACTGAGCGAGATCCTGGGAAGGTTGGGAGGGACCCGTGGGTGGGCAGCCAGAGGGAGGTGCCAGGGTCAAAGCCTAAGGTGGGTAAGAAAATGCAGAGCTCTTCATTTTCTGATAGTGGCAAACTGGCACACAAGTATCTGTTGAATGAATGTTGAACTATCTTCCTACCAGGGAAGGGATGTAGAGGGACAGCAGGTTCTTGGCATAGCAAGCGGCATACCACTGGAGGTGGCATGGAGAGGCCTGGAGGCAGCCAGTGCCCTGGTCCCCAAGGGCCAGGAGGCACTGGAGTCCAGGGTAAAGGTAAGGCTTCTGGGGGACGGCTGAGCAGCAGAGGCCCACAGGAGTTCTCCTGAAAGGGCAGAGGGCATAGGTTAGAGTTAGGTACAAGGCTGGAGAAGGAATGGGTATATTCTGGGATGGTTGTAGGACCCCTAAATGGTGGTGGGGCACTTAAAAGTCCAGTACTGTCATTTTGCTCACAAAAGTGACTTGCCCATGATTACCCAGTAAGTTAGGGTAGGGGCTAGTATCAGGTGTTGAGGGCACAGAGGAAGAAGTCTCTGCAGGACTTAGGCTGGGAGCTACTCTCTCAGGGCACAGGCTTTCCTTACCTTCCCAGGAGGTGTCAGTGCCAGTGGGACTGCCCCATGGGGGCTCTGAGGCTGGGGTGCTATGTTCTCCTTTCCAGCTGTGAGGGACCAGAGAGCTCTAGTGAGTCTTTTCTTTTGACCTCTGTTTTATCCCAGCCCCATCTGAGTTCATATATCCCTCTGACCATGTTCTACCTGCAGATCTCACTGTATCCTCACAACATTTGATCACATTTTATAGTTGGGGTGACTTTGCCCAGGGTCAAATATCAATTCAGTGGCAGGACTCTCTTCTCCACTTATGCTTTCTATACCCAAATCCCTGTCCCATTCCCAGTCAGAGACACTCACAGGGGACCCCTGGTCGAGTGGCTCCTTTCTTGACACCGGTGGGAGCTTTGAGAGGGGCTGTTCCTCTCCTCATCAGTCCCTGAGCCACATGCCTCTTTAGCTGTGCCTCTTGCTGCCTGCGCAAGGCGACCTGGGCAGCCATGACCCTTCGGCGCTCCCTAAAGTGTGTGTGGGGGTGCAAGTCAAAAGTCAGCCACCCTTTAGAGGAAGCCCATCCTCTTCCCGTCCCTTATACTCACAGGATAAGGACACATTTGTGACACTCGCAAGCCTGAAAGAGGCAGAGGCGCTTGTGGCCCTTGAGGTGGGCAGTGACACCATGGTTGCGGCAGCGGGCACAGGTTGGAGAGCGACTGACAGCTCTTCTGGGGATAAGCTCTGTGCTCTGGGGGGCTCTGGTCTCACCTCCCAGGACAGAGTCAGCAGGGCAGTGGTGTACAGCAGGTGTTTCACTGGGTTCCATGGATCTAGGGGCAGGAGTGGCAGTTCAGGATGGGCATGTGGTCCCTCCCCTAAGTAACCCTAATCTAACCCTTCTGCCTTGAAGAGGCCACACCATGGTTCTCCAGCCTGACCACTCTGGACTCAGCTTTCACCTCATGACCTTTCTCATGGATCTTCCTAAGAACCCCCTGCCCTGGCCTTTCTTAGGTATATGTTCAATGCAGACATCATTATCTTGCTCATCTACACACTTTCCCATGACAGAACTCAGTCTGAGGCATATACATGTCCTCCCAGGATCCCCCTCAATGGTATCTGCACCCCCTTTCTACAAACATCCCATTCCATCCAAGAATTCTTCCTGGCATCATTTTCAACAGTTGTCATCCTATGGCTTGCATTTATCTAATCCCTAAAAATATTTTTATGCCCTCCTCAATTCTTAGTCCCACAATACCCACAATTCAGAATTCAGTCTGCCCTTCACACTCCTCCAGTCCGATTTTGTTCTACGTTATTCTAATGAATTCCTTGCTCTTCTTTCCTTTTTCCTTTTGTTTTTGAGCAGTGCTGGGGGATAGAACCCATGGCCTCATGGATGGTAGGGAAGTCCTCTACCACTAAGCCACATTCCCACCCTGCTCCTTGCCCTACTTTCAATAGTTATTTTAATTCACGCATTCCTTCACTGGACAGGTTACTGAGTTCCAGCCATGTGCGAGGCCCTGATCAACACCAAAATTCTTCAACTGATGGCGTCAATTTCTCCACTGCATCTAGAAGGCATCCAGTCTTTCAGGCGAACCTGTGCAGTCGTGGCTGCACCCAGTGCTTAAGCCCCTGTACCCACTAATAACAATTAATCTCATGCATCCTCCCCTCCTTATGCAACCTTATCTCTCATGCAACCCCTTCCAGCAGCCATCCCCCCAAACACTGGACTTGTGGCTCCGCCCCGCTCCAGCGTCCCTGGGAGGCGGCAGGGCACGAGAACGCGCCCAGGGGCCCGCGGGGTGGGGGAAGGGAGAAGAGAGGCACGAGGAGCGCGAGGGGAAGGGCGAGAGGATGCCTGTGGGGAGATCCAGTGCCAAGTGAGAGGGAGCAGAAGGAACAGGGAGGGGGGTCGTGTTCGCGCCCCGGTCCGTGGTTACCACAGCCGCGAGAGCAGAGTCAGACTCAGACAGGAGGTGGCCAAGGGAAAGGACGAGAAAGTGGCTAGAGGAACGGCTGCGCTCGCGCTGGTTTTCCCGCCCCTTATCACAAGGGCCAATGAGCTTCAAGCACCGCCTACTGCTGTTCAGGCCGGTGGCCAATGTGCTTCGAGATCCGTACGTTGATGGCCCGCCCCTTCCCTCTTGCCCACTTCTCCGCGCGCCAGACCATCAGGCCAGCCAATAGCGCGTCGAGCTGAGTCTTGCCCTTCCCCCCATGGCCTGCCTTCTTAGATTGTTCTTCCTCTTTTGGAGAAGGTGACCAATGGGGCGTCGAATACTGCCTCCCGGACCGAGGTTGGCCCACCCCCCGCCCCCAGGAACAGTAGGCTCGGCCCCGCCCCCAGGCGTTGACCAGACTGTGGGCGCATGCGCAGTCTCATTTCTGGCCTGCGCTCCGGGCTTTGCCTTCGCTGCTGATCCTCGCTGCGTGAACTTGCTTGTTCTTTTTCACTTCTCTTCCGGTTTCCCAACTCCGAATCTATGCTTTGCCTCTGATGCATTTCCCCAACCTGTGATTTCCCTTTTTCCTTCCAGGGTCTCACCTTCTCAAGTTGAACCCCTTGTCTCTCTGTCTGACCTTCTTTCTGTTTGTTCAACTTGCTGCTTTTTGGACCCATTTTCTTCTGGTTATTTATTCCCTGATAACCTGCGTCCCTTTCTTGCATTCTTTGCCTCCAGAGACGCGCATCTGTACTTTTTCTTCGAGGCCCTCTGCCCTCTGCCCTCTGCGTGCCTCTAGGGATTTCAACTGTTCCCAGGACTCTTAATGGTAGCCTTCCCCCGTTTCCCTAACACCCATTTCACACTTTCCTTCCCCATCCTCTCTGTATGATCCCCTTTTCTCTGTCCATCCCACCCTGTCTCCTTTTCTTTCATTCACTGTTTTGAGTGCCTCACTCCTCATTTCCTACCTTTTTGCTGTGCTGTCCCTGCTGGTCCTTTGTCTCCCTGCAGGGTTCCAGTCCATCAGGTTGCTTCTCCTCTCTGTAGGTTTGTTTTTTCGTAGGGGTAGCATCCCCTCTGACCACTCCATCCTTTGTTCTTTCGGGGTTTCATTTCAAGTCTGTTCTGACTGTATCTCCACTTGTGCTTAGGTTGTTCTATCCTGTCGTTTTGCCTCAAGGGCTGGTGTGTGCGATTTTCTCTGGTTGGAATAACACCTCTATGTAATCCTTTATTAGCCTTCATTTCCTCTTCCCATGTCCCTTCTTTTCTGTGGACCTTAGCCTCTTTTCTGCAGTATTCTGGGCCACAAACCCTGCGGATCTGTGGCATTCCAGGCTTGAAAAGTGACCTCCAGCTGGACTGCTGTGCAGGGAGCCATATTAGATAAAATTGAAAGGTTGTTTGGGGTCAACTTGGGGGTGGTGAGGTGGGGGAAGGCTTGAATGCCAGCTAAACAACTTGAATTGGATCCTCTAAATGGAGAAGGGAAAGGGAGAGAGGAACCAACATTTATAGAGTTCAGCATTTGCCTGTACTTTATATTAATAATCTTATTAATCTTCACAATGATCCTGTAAGATATATTATTAATACATTTTATTAATGAAAAAGCAGGCTCAAGAGTTCAACAAATTGTGGAAGATCGCATAGCTGGTAAGCGGCAGGATAAAGATTCCAGCTTTGGTCTCTCTTTGCGTGCAAGACCTATGAACTTCATACCCCATCCTACATTGTTTTAGTTATTTCCACTAATCCTTCTTCCCCCTTTCATTCCCTAACCTTCCTATATACAGTCATTCTAAGGTGCTTAATGTGTATCTTTTGGTTTGTGTGGATTGTCCCGAAATTGTGTAGAGTTTTTTTGCATATTTTCAAATTTATGCCCATGATATTATTATTTACTACTTAAAATAATCACATCTGTACTTTTATGACCCATGCACATACACAAGTGTACATCTAATCAGTTGCTTCTAACTGCCATGATATTGTGTGGTGTATATCCCTTCATGTTGTGTGTTCAGTTGGTCTCAGGAAGGGATGTGCCTATTGCCTCTGCTTATCCATCACAATAATGCTTGTATCCTCAAAAACCTAAGGGTGGAAATTTTTGTATCGAGGATATACCAGAAATGCATATTTACATACCTAATTTGATTAAATATTGTCAGACTTCCTTCTGCAATGCTGTGTTGGGCCTGAGACACTGATCAGAACTCTCAACTCCTCTGTTCCTCAGGATCTGGAAAAGAACCCTATCCACCATCCCACCAACCATCACATGAACAGCAGTGCACAAGGACCCCTTTATCCCCACATTGCTGCCAAAACTTGTCTGTTTCCAGCTTCCTGATTATAGTCAGTCCAAGAGATGTACAGTTTGAGGAGGCTGCATTTCTCTGATTATTGCTAGGTGTGTTTGTTAGCCTTTCTTGCTTGCTTGTCGGAGGACTGCCTCTACATATACTTGGTCCATTTTCCTACAGGGGTGCTGACTTTTTCTGGTTGATTTTCAGGAGGTCCTTGGCTATTCCTCCAGCCCCCCTTATTGGGGATTGAACCCAGGGCCATAAGTGTGCTAGGCAAGTGCTGTATCACTGAGCTGCACTCCCAGTGCTGCATTATGTATATTCTTATGCTAATTTTGGCATTTTCTATTACTTTAAAAGTTTATTCACTGCATCTGGGTTTTCAAATTTATCAATGTAGAGTTGTTAATGATACTTTTATTATTTATAAAACATCTGCTGTCACTTCCCATTTTTCATTCTTATTTTATTTGCATCTTTTCTCTTGAGTACATTTGCCAGATAATTATATTATTAATCTTTTCAAAGAATGAACATTAGGGTTTTTTTTTTATAATAATGTGTGTTGTTGTTTACTGTTTCATTGATTTCTGCCATCCTTTTTATTTCTATTCTTATTTTGGGAGTGTGTGCTTCATTTTTCCTTATACAACCTCTTGAGCTAATTCATGAACATATTTATTTTTCAATGTTTCTTTTTTCCTGATAAATTTATTTAAAAATATAGGTTTACTTGTAAATACTATTGTATCCTAAAATTTGGTATGTTGTTTTTTTTTTAAAAAAAAAAAAAACACCCAAATCTCTCAATTGTGAAATGATTATTGGCTCATAGAAAGTTGCGAAAATAATACATGAAGTACCTTGAACCCTTCCTCTAGCTTCCTCGTGGGGACATGTTATATAACTATAGCATATGAGTGAGAAATAGAAATTGGTACAATACTCTTAACTAGTCTACAGATGTTATTGAGTTTTCAGTGGATTTGGCATGTACTCGTGTGTGGTATGCATTATAATATTATTCAGTCATAAATATTTTCTAGTTTCTTTATTGAGCCAAGTGGTGTGTAGTAGTCTTTTGATTGACTTCCACTCATAGGAATTGTGAGCATCCATTTGTTTTTCTGCTGTCATTGTGTCTGACTGGAGAACAGCCTGTGCAATAGTGGTCCTTCAGATCTGACCAAGGCTAGTGGGAGGACCTAAGTGGGAGAATTAGAGCTGTGCTTTGAGAAGCTGATGTGGTGGGAATGGGTTAGATTGGAGGGGAGACCATGGAAATGGGGAGGCTGTGTTCCTGAAGTCCTCAAGTAACTGATGCAGTCAACTTTCTGCTCCAGAAACAGTGACCCAGAAGTGGGTGAACAGAGAATTTAGGGACTGCCAAGAACTGAATTTGGAACCCACGCTGAAATTGGTTTCAGACTGACTTTTAGCATACAGGACACAGGACCATGGGACCCCAGCATTTGAGACCTGTGCATCTGCTCTGCCTCCTAGGGGCCATCTCTTCTCTACCTTGTATGTCTTTGGGGGGCTGAATGCTATTAAGACCTCAAAAGGTGGGAGGCTGGATTCATGTCATTTGGGGAAGGAGGGCTGGGTATCTAGGTCCAAGGCTGAATTCTTGGTTGGAACTCAGGGCCTGAGAAGGTGATGTGGGGCAGATGCCTGGAAGTTCATTCTCTTTTTAGGGGCTGATACTCTTTTGTGCTATGAAGCAAGAGCCTCAGCATTCAGAGCTGTTACCTTCCATAACTGGAGGTGGTTTCTGATGAGGAGCATGGTGTGTAAGCTGAGAGAAGGCTGTGAGGAGACACTAGTGCTCATTGAGTCAGGTGAAGTGGGGTGGGTTTAATAATCTCCTTCTGCTCACTCTTCTACCCCTAGCTCCACTCCCAGCACTCAGGACTAGAGTTCCAGATATTGACGTCATTGTATGTTTGGGAATATGTCAGGACACTGGCAAGAGCAGTGATGGTCCCAGCTGTTTATAGTGTGGGCTGATTAACAGCACAAAATGGAGATGGGCAGATCTTGGAGGAGGGGGAAGTATGGGGTAGAGAAAGGGATGGGACACAGGGAAGAGCAGAGGGACCCCTGTAGGGAGAAGGTTAAAGAGACAAAGATGGAGACCTCAGCATCTGAGCCTCATGCAGCTGCAGTGAGTGAACATGGGGAAGAAGCAAAGGTGTCGGGGTGGGCAGAGGGCACAGAAAGCACAGGGATGAGGGAGAAGGGTGGACTTTGGTGAGGCCAATGACACTGATCCGAACTCTCTAATCCTCTGCTCCTCAGGGACCAGAAGGGGAGTTGTGGGGTTTAAAGGCTGCACTTCAAGCTTATCTTATCATCAGCAAGTCTCCTACCTTGTTTCACCTCCTGGAGTGTCCATTGCCTCCTATAGTCATGTTTGCCGGACCTTTCTCTGCAATAACCTCACCAACTTGCAGCCTTTTCTGAGGCTCAAGGCCAAATCTGCTAAGTCTACCTCAAGTTCTTCAAATACTTGCCCAACGTGTGTGGGCAGGCACAATGAGGAGTGTCTTCCAAATTTTGTCTCCACTGAGACTTGTCCCTCTGTTGCCCATAGCTGTTTCAGTTCCACCTTCAAATTTCAGGCAGGTGAGAGGAGAGGAACTTTGTTTATCAAATGCTTGCTGTATGCCAGGTGCTGTTAATGACTTAAAACAAACCTCTGAGAGAGGCTGATGGGGTCTGGAGATGGGATTCTGGGTAGAGGGGACCAGTCACAAGAATTCCAAGGAGGAAGGGGTAAGGTGCCTGGTGGGTTAGTCTCTGGTGGGAAAAGGAGGTGTCCTGGTTTGTGAGGAGCTTCTGGATAATGGCTCTCTTGAAACGTCCCTGAATCTTCCCTTTCTTCCTTATAGGGACGCTCAATACCACCTTCCTCATCTTGGGCTGTGCTCGTAAATATCAGAATCTCTTATCAGATTTTCATCATATTGGAAGTATCAAAGTGACTGAGGTCCTCAACATCATACAGAAGTCCCAGACTGTTGGTGCGGGGCCCTCTAGTCAAGATCCTTCTTGGGGCATTCTCTTAGGCCTCCTGCTTGTCTTCAGGTACTGACCATCCAGCTGTATCAACACCCAGACCCCTTTGATTAACCAAATAAAGTTGTGGAGTTACCCTTCTGCTTTGTCCTGTGGTCCATGAGAGTATGGAGATGTGGAAGGTATGAGGAGAGCCAGCTATGTCTAGGGAGCGGACAGGTTGGCCTGATAAAATGGCGTGTCATGCCCAGTTGCCGGGGGAACATTTTTCTGGAATAAAGGGAAAATAAGGACATTCTTTGATGAAGAAAATTATTACTGTCTTTAACGAATAGCTAAAAGGCCAGGTTCAGTGGTATATGCCTGTAATTCTAGTGATTTAGGAGGCCAAGGTAGGAGGATGTCAAATTTGAGGCCAGCCTGGGTGACTTAGTGAGACCCTGTCTCAAAAAAAAAAAAAAAAAACAAAAAACTGGGGACATAGCTCAGTGATAAAGAGCCCCTACCAGTTTCAACCCCTAGGTACCAAAATAAATAAATACACAAAAAATAACAGAAGACTGAAAACTTCAGAAGGAAAAAGAACAAGAGAATGGGTAAAAATAGAATTAATCATAATATACTGTCCTTTATCCATGAGTTTCTTAGATCATTGTATTATTGATAAAAAAAATTACAGTAATATCTAATACGGTGCTGAATACATGCAGTGGAAAAAAAATTAAGAATTGTTGAACATTTTCTCATTAATTTATAATAGCTTTGGGTTGGGGTTACAGCTCAGTGGTAAAGTGCTTGCTTAGAATGAGTGAGGTCCTGGGTTTGATTCTCAGCACCACATAAAAACAAATAAATGAAATAAAGGTTAAATTTTTTAAAAAAATTATAATAGCTTTATTGAGCTATAACACACATGCCATAAAAGCCACCTATTTTAAGTGTCTAACTCAACGGTTTTAGGTATCCATAGAATTGTACACCACTACTAACATCCATTTTAAAAGTTTTATCAACTCCACAAGAAACTCTATATTCATTAGCAGTCACTCTCCCATTTCCCCCCAAATCCCATAATCCTAGAAAACCGCTAGTGTTTTCTGTCATATATATTTGCCTATTCTGGAAATATTAATCACATATAATTGAATCATATTAATCACATTAATCATATAATCTAATATAATTGTGGGAGGTTCTTGTGGTCCATCTGGTGAGTCCAGGTAGTCACAAGGTCCTTTCTTTGTAAGTGAGAGAGGGAGGCAGGACAGACAGAAGAAGCCAGAGGTGTGGGGCAGAAGCAGAGCAGAGAGCCTTCAGGGGCCACTTGCTTTCTTCAAAGATGGAGTCGGGCCCACAGGCCAGGGAAGCTAGAAGCTGGAAAAGGTGAGGAAACTGATTCCTGTGGAGCCAACAGAGGAATGCTGCTAATGGACACCTTGGTATCTGCTGTTGGAGCCACTGTGTGGGAGTTAGTCTGTACCAAGAGCACCAGGACACCAAGGCAAGAGCAGTCACCGTGTGTGATCTGATGCTGTGTTCATGCAGAGGAGCCTCACTAGAGCTGAGTCAGGCTGGACACTCCGAGGGTCTCTTCCTACTTCTCATCTCAGCACAGACAGTTCTTGGCATTAGGAGAGTGTCCCTGAGCTTTAGTACATTGACCTCTTAATATCCAGAAAAGTGATGGCCTGATCCAAGTGAACCTACAGGAAAACGTCACGCTTCCCAGTCTTCAGGGAAGGAGTCAGAGCAGTGGTCCATGTATGTGGAAGAGACTGCAGTGGACATTCTGGGCCCCAGGTCAGGGAGGAGACCCTTTGTCCCATCACCATGGAATCTGGAGAGCCCCATGTGGGGAGCCCTGAGCCTCTGCCCTGGGTGCTGGAGTGTGCAGAGGAGACACCAGGCAGGGAAGGTGATGGGAGGGCAGGGCTGGAGCCTCGGGCAATGCCTGAGGCCCTTGTTCAGGGCCTGAGTTTGGGTCTGGCCCTGTCCCCTGATTACTCTGACAGTCCCATGTCCCAGAAGAAGCGAAGATGTCCTGAGTACTGGCCTTTGAGTAGGAAAGAAATCAGTGGCCACAGTCAGCCACCCTGGGTCCCTGGAGTGTGAGGGCCACTGAGTGCTCTGCTGGCTGCAGGGCCTTGGGACCCTCACCCTTCCCTGTGGACAGACCTGACCTTTGCCCTGGCTCCCACCTCCCAGCTCCTGTCTCCCAGGAAGAGAAACCCTGTGGGAGCAACTTAGAGACCACGATTCCCCTGCGTGACACAGGAGAGAGCTGACCTGGAACTTGAGGAGAGTGTCTGCCAAGAGACGTTCCCATATGAACCAAAAGAGCAAAGGAGGGAAGTGGGTCTTTATTCAGGCCTTTCCAGGTAACCTATAGGGGCCCTTCCCTCTCCCTGGAGCCCCTGCTCCTGGGCACGGGCAGCCTAGTTCTGGCCATTCAGAGCCCAGGGCAGCCTGTCTGGGTCTCCAGAAACCCAGGGAACCCCACCTCCTCCAGGTGCCAGAGTCTCCCAGGGCTCAGGCGCCACCATAGAGGGTCTGGGGTTCTAGTGGGACCCTCCCTCAGCCCATAAGCAGCATTGTCTGGTGGGAACTAAGAATCCACATGAGCTTGGCTATGGACCCAGCAGTAGCTGTCCAGGTCAGGGTTTAGTAATTCCTGAAAAAAACAAGAGTCCTCTGACCCTGTGTCCTTCTGAGAACAGGGATCAGAGACTCCTAGGCCCTGGCCCCCCTGGGACTGCTCTGTGCCTGCTCCTGGCTGGGCTCAGTGGCTCCTGTTCCCAGGCCCCTCCCTCCCCTGCTCACCACCCTGATCCTGTTTTGGCTGCTGTTTCCTGGAAATCTCAGGAAGGTGTGGGGAGGGGCAGCTCCTGGGTCCCCGCTGGACAGTGGGCCAAAATATTTCTCACCTACACTCACCTGGTAGATGGGAACAGCATCTCTGAGGCTAGGGACAAGGGCCTGGGCGGGGGAGGGAGAATGGACATCAGTGTCAGTGAGGGACAATCATCAAGGCTGAGACTCCAGTGAGCAGGTGCTGGATGGTACCTGGAATGTTCTGGTCTCTGACTGTTATGTTTCTTGTCCGGTCAGCGGCGGTGACTTAGATTAAAGCAGCCCGCGCAGGAAAGAAACATCAATCAGGCACCGATGGAAACGCCTGTCAGTCAGCAGAACCCCCTGGCCAGTCCTGGATCTCAGCCAGCTCCCCTGACCAACTCCAGCGGGACAAGGGACCCTAAAAATCCCTTTTCCTGTCCCAAGCCCTTCCCTTCCTGCCATGAGCCCTGTAAAATCCCAGTCCAGTGGAGCTCCCACGCGCTTTCTCCTCAGCCCCTCCTCCTGTCCACTCTGTGGGTCTGATGGAGTTCTGCCTGGGAGTCGCAATAAAGCCTTGTTTGGTGGCCTTTTTAAATCTGCCTCCTTTGGTTGCTGCCCGCCTTGCCCGATCTTACATTTCTCACGACTAAAACACTCAAGGTCACTCCAGGTGTCCTGGGCTGCATGAAATAATCACACAGAGACACAGATACCTTTTTCTTTGGGTCCTGTGATGGCTCCTCTGACCTTAGGGGTCCGTGGGAAGAGAGAGAGGAGGAGCACTGCTGAACCCTTTTATTGGGGAGAAGCCATTCAAATGAGGCAAGGGATCAGATTTCAGGGGCTGAGTCTAGCTTCCTGATGTCTGTTGTCAGCAGGTTGACTGACACCTAGGAAGGCCACACCCAAAGGCAGAGCAAGAGAAGGGGACAAAAAAAGGGAGTTTCCATGGAACATTCTATCCCAAACAGGGCAAAGGGGTAGGATTACAAAAGAATAGGTTGAGTGTCACTCAACCCCAGGGGTATGCCTACTCAGAAGACTGGCCTTGCTATCCGAGTGGGGTAGGGGGTGGGGGGAGACCGAGTCATGAGTCATGGCACTACCGCATCAGAGTACAATGATCTTTAGATCCCAGTGGTGCATCAGGACTGGAAGCTGTGGTAACTCAATGCAGCTCCCCACGTCTGAAAGGACAGAGCTTACTTCCCTGTGTCTGCTTTAGTCCCTTCTTCTCAGGAGTTACCAGCTCTGGGTCCTGAGCACTGACGTCCACTTCTGGACAGACACCCCAGTTTCTGTCCAGACTCTGCTCCCCCCATCATTAACCCAGGGCCACTGACAGTCGCTCCCAGCATCCACTCTGCACCTGGTAGCCTCTAGGACTCCCCTGAACATATGGAGGAAAGCAGGGTGGGCTCAGGACACAGTTATGAGTGGCCAAGCCACTGGCCAGGGCCAGACTAACCTTGTCCTGGTCCAACATGAGGGGGTGCTGTTTGTGCTGTGTTGGGATTGAAAGTGCCTCTACCCTGAGCCAGCACAGCTGGGTCCCCTGTATGGAGGGTTGTTGGGGGTCTTGACAGGGAGGTGAAGCAGTGTCCCTGCCGTGAGCATCCAGGTGTCTGTGCCAATGTCTGAGGCTGGTGGCTGCAGACAGTGTCTACTGCTCTAGTTGCCTTTCTATTTGGAGGGTGGCCCTGACAGAGCTGTTCACACTGATTTTCAAAATACAATGGCCCCTGGTGATTAACATAGTAAAGAGAACCCCTGAGCTTTCCATCCCCCTTCATCAGCTCCAGGTCACTCAGAGTTTCCTGTTGGTGAGCTTCTGTCTGTCTTCTGTGTTCTGTTCCCATCGGGTTCCCCATGAAGCCCTGTGTCCCCTGTGAGGGTCGTGTCCTCCAGGGGGCACCAGCAAGACTGTGCTCCACCTCCCACCCTCTTTCAGGGAACTGTCCCCTCTTACTTGCCAGCAGGATCCCCTGCCAGGGGATGCCCCCTCTGTAGGGACAGGCTGAGGGGGGCTGCATGGTCCCTGCTGCTCTGTCCCCTCTGTGGAAGGAGCTTCACTGAGACCCGCTGGGAAGCCCAGGTCCAGGCCACTCAGCCCTGCTGCCTGCTCCTCTCTGAGCTCAGCCTCCTCCCAGGGCAGGAGCACTTTCCTGGGTCACAGGGCTGGGGGCGGGGTCTCTGTGGAGGAACCTCTCTGTCCCCTCCCTCTCAGTCCTGCCTCCTGTCCCTTCTGCTTTCCCTGTTGGGTTTCACTACTGCATGCCACACCCTGAGGAGCA